AGGTAACTTTGAGCCTGCCACTAATTGATTTAGCGATAAAGTTTTATTAAAATAGCCTTTTAACAAACTAGGTACTCACCAGATAGTTAATTAATATCTGAGGTCTTCTACAGATGGGTACAAAGTACTCCTATCTCAGGGCGGTCGTAAGGTCTACTTCTAGGATAGGAATAAAGACTAGCTTTATTCGAACTGAGAAGATTTTCGATCTATGTTAGACTTGTAGCGAAGGTATGATTTCGAGCGGTTATGATCTTTGAGTCAATGCGTAAAACCTTTAGACGGAACAGAATAGAATAACAAATTTGTGATAAAACACAACTGAGACAATTGAAAGAGAGTTATCACTAAAAGTAATAAGTTCTAATTTAATAGTAATCGGCTTGGGTTTTGGAAATGTTATAGAATGATCTTTCTAAAAGTGATAATTGGTTTGATTGGATTTAAGATGATTCTCCATCTTTCAACGCAAACTAATAGGTCCTTTTATATCAAATTCTTCAATAGTTTCGCCTAGTTGATGATGTAATCTTATTAGTTAATTAGTTGCGTTTCGTTGGGTCAGGGTGTTCTTTTCTTGGACTGGTTGCTTACCAGATTGTATGTTCTTGACTATCTGGTTGCAGTTGTCAGGGTAGTATTGTAGTTTTTTGGACTGGTCCCTTTGATACGTCTCTTCTAGAGTTCGTTTTCAGGGACTCTTCATTAGTAGGTTCTCAGCCCTGTACACATGTAGAGGTGTGGGTTTTGCTCGAAGGGAAACTGCTTGCAGGGTTTTTCTTCGAGAACAAGATTTGTGGATAGCATAAGTTATGTTTTTAGTTTTGTAATCCTAAGGGGTATGTGTTAATACTCTCTAGGTTGACATTCTTGACCAATTCTTCATGTATCTTCAAACCAGTTTCACCCTTGTTTGTATCTCCAAATTTCTTTGAAAAACATTCAATTTGTAAAATAATATTTGGAGATAATCCCCCACAGATGGGTGTAAAATATCAAGTAGATCACAATGGTACTACATAAATCCCTGTACGGAGTGGTAGTGAGGTCCGCCAAGTGCTTGAGGCTCCTTGGTAGCCTTCAAGGGGCCACAAGCCCAGGCTGAAGGCTGTGACTTCTTGGGACTCAAGTTAGGGCCTTGGAAACAGCACTTGTGGCTGCTCGATTTGCATCAGGCAACCAGGAGCCCTGGCTGAAGTCCCTGACCACTTGGGGCTCAAGTCTGGAAATTAATCACAGTACTTGTGGCGGCTGGATGGGCATTGGGCGGCCAGGAGCCCTTGCTACCAGACGTGTCTGTGCGGCACTTGTGCACATGCCTTGTTGCTCCTTGATGTTTGTGCAAAGAACACTCTGTGGGTCTCAATAGTCCATACAGGGATTCAAGTAGTACTGTTGAGATCCTCCAGAATCTCTACATCTCTACATATATCTGCAGATATAAACAAGGTTCACATGGCAAATTGTTAAAGATAATCAAGATGGCAAGATTATTCTGGAGACTTTGCTGAAATATTATTCCCAAAATAAAGGTGTTGTGGGGAGAAATTTGAAATTGCCATATCCTTGCACTACAGCTCTATACAGGGCTGTAAGTGTGAAATTCACCTACACCAATAAACAAGGTTCAGGGCGGAAATTTGTGTGGATAGTCAAAATTGCAAGATGTTTCTGGAAGTTTTTTAAGGCAGACTTTGTAAAGATGGCATTTGCAAGCCATTTTTTATGTCTATTGCATGGAACAGGTTCACAAAAAGGCTTTGTGGAGATAGTGACAATGTTAATATTGAATCGACTTTCCAATGATCAAAGTTTTAACACATATTGCATCCATCTACAGGGATAAACAAGGTTCACAAAAGACTTTTTGAAGAGAGTAGAAATTGTCATATTGAAAGCTCCATCTCTGGACTATTCCTTGCTCAGTTCTGGTGTTTTTTTTCGTTTTTTTATTGCATTTTTTTGTTTCTGAAATTCTTTGTTTTTTTCTCTCTCTATCCTTTCTTTTCTAAACAGTCTTTATGTAGGTCTCTACCTCATTCAGGTTTTGAACTGGTGTGGGGGGGCCCAAGGCCGGGGACTGCCTGTCTGAGAAAGGGTATTTGTGGGCAGGGGCGGGCGGGTGGCCCATGAACATTTGAGTATTTGCCTACTTGTGGTCCTTCATCTTCATTGTGAATTTGTCCTTTGATTATTTGCTTTAAGTACATTCACCTTATCATTGCTTATCACCTTTTTTCTCTCCTCATGTATTTTACCTTGCTTCCTGATCTTCTACCTTTTTAATTTGTATATCTCTACAGTTTCTTCCTTTGTTCTTAATCACTTACTGTCTTTATTTCCCCTTATCTTAGTTGGGTAGGTGGGATGGTTTTTGAAAAACAAATGAATCTTGTTTCTTTCCGTCAATGTTCAGCAAAAAAAACTTACTTGAGGTGTATGAGTGTGCTGAGGCGTGCAGACTTGTGAAATTGAAAATTTTCACAGTTTGTCCAACCTCTTTCCTCAGTGGGTCGGGTATTGTCACAACCCTGTTTCTGGACTCATACACTGTGTCATCTGTCCCAATGGAACTCACAGACAATGTTGTGCCTTTGGCCATCTGTGTCAATCTTTCTAAACCACAATTCTGGACATGAAAGTCATTTTGAGTAAATTTGGAATTGTCTTAGCTTGGCAATAAGCCCTGGCCTGCACAGGTGAGTCAAAATGCAAGGCTATCTATGACAGACCATAGCACTTGGTAATCAATGGCGTGAAGATCATTGATTTTGAGTCATTGTTTGGTCAGTAGACATCATATAATCATTTTGGTATTCACAACTTTCTGAATGGGGCTGAAAGCTACAGATTGAGGTTATTCTGATACCCATTTGAAATTTTGTTTAAATTTAACAAGAATTGATTGGAAATTACTTTGGAAACAGCCTGAAGTTGTGGAATTTTCTGGCCTGTCAGTGATTAGTAGCTGGGTCTGTGAGTTGCTCCAGTCTAGTCTCACCCACAGCCCAGTACTGGGGCTACCCCCAAGACCCAAATATCTACCCCTTTACAGTTTTAACCAAGTGGGTTTTTTGCATATATTTTTTCATTTTTTTTTCAAGTTGAGCACTTATATACTTGACTTAAGAGCTTAAGTTCCTTAACATAAGAAGATGAGTACATGATTTAAGCCTCTTATGGTACCCAGAACCAAATTTGTAGGTTTTGGAAAGAAAGATTAAAACACAAACAATTGGCTGATCAGATTGCCAAGCCAAATCATTGCTGACACAAACACCCTAGTCATGGCCCAAAAATGACTTCTTACAGAATTTTTGTTGATAGCTTTTGTTTGTGTCAAGTTTTCAAATCAAACTTTGTTTTGGCAGAGTGGTTGTGATTGAGACTAGACTGGATCAACTGTAATGGGACATAATTCTTGGAGCTCACCTGCCAAAAACTGTGAGTCCAATGTAAGCCCCTCTTTGAGGGTACGTACTAGCTTGCAAGGGACCAAGTTAAGCTTAACATGTTTCCCAAGTCTTGGAAACAACAGAAACAATGTGTTATGATAAAATCCAAGGCAGAATAGGACTGAGTTGGCTTTGGCCTAATACTCCAGTACCTACTTGGAAAGTACAGGTTAGGTACCAAAACACAGATTTACACTATGGTTCAAGTAGCTACTATTCTGTACAGTAGATACTGTCCCCATAAACCTCAGTCACACTACTTTACCTTCTGTAAAAAAAACTGAAATCTTGCACCAGCAAGTCTAGGATTTGTACAAATACTTATTGTTGCTATGAAATGTGTTAACGAACTTCAGTGGAATGGAATTTTGTGATGATCATGGTATGGGTCTGGCAATGGAGAAGAAGTTCAGTTGATGGGATGGGTCTTGAACCTGATCTAGATATATTTTCAGATTAAGAAAAAGGAAACTTTAGGATCTTGTAGTAACAACAATATTGAGTTCTGTCATGGTGATGGGTGTTGATGATGTATGTGTTTGCAGTTTTGGATCTAGTGTCAAAGCTCCTGTTGTTGTGGATTGGATCCAGCACCGCCTAGGGCAGCAATTGGATGATCATAATTTTTTCTTACAGTTTGAAGGCACTCTAGATAAGTCACACAATCACACAACTGAATCCTTGATGAATGTAGGCTCATGGCAACAGTCAATGTGGCATTGTGCTTGTTCTATGTCACTGTTTTACTTGATATTGATACAACTGGTCAAAAGAGCTTCTATAAACCTAAATTCAATCATTTTTTTAGCTGTTGTATGTCAAACAAGGTGGTTTTTTTTCCAAAATCTTTGACACTGCTCTTGACTGAGATTCAGCCAATTTTTCAGACACATCCTTAAAAGGGTACCAATCAGTGAGAGTTGAATTATTAGAACCTTCAGGTGGCTGATTGTGTGGTCTGGCACTTAAGGAACCAGGTAGTATCTCATGGCCTCCCAGAAGTGCCATCAACACCACCGCCGCACCGCTCCGCACCGCTCCGCTCCGCTATATTGGCCATAATTCATAGCGTGGCGATTTGGCGCTATGAACAATTGCCAATTGCTACACTATTTTTCCCAAGGCGCTATGTAAATTGAAAGCGGTGCGCGTTAAAAAACCACTCTGCTCCGCTTTAGACAAATTGGAGGGAAGATAGTGAAAAAAAGCAACACATCTGGGTCTTGTCTTCATTTTGGCTGTTTTAGAACACACACGTATTTCATTATTGACAGCGGAGTGGGGGTGAGTGAGTAAAAAAAGCAAAAGACTTATACAATTATATACAAAGGAATTGTATGAAAGAATAAAGAAAACAATTTTTTATATATTCTTTGAGCAACATTTTGAGATTAATCGCGCTTATCTTAACATTTTGATCCAGAATTTTTCTAAACATCACTGATTAATTTCCACCAGGATCTGAGTTGATTTCTGTTGAACGTTAATCACAGTAGACTAAGTTGAACTTCACTTTATGGTTCTGATTTTGTGTTGAATCCAGAACTTCCTTATCACCCCTGCCCATCCTGCATCTTTGATTTGCATCCCTGGTTACTTTAGAATTGGACATGATCCCGATTTTTAACAATCTAGGTTTGTAATAAACCACTTTTTTGATGTGTCTGAATGGCAAACTATACTTTGTTTGTTCAAGATGTTAACTCGATATCTACAGTTTAAAAATAGAGGTATCACTCTTGTGTAAAGCTTTATCTAGCCTTATCGATCATCTTCTCGTTCCTTTATCATTTCAATTGAATTGATTATCTTGACATCATTGAACCGACTTGAGGATGGGTTTATTAGCACTTGGTACCCCATTCAATTGGCCACAATGTAGTTTGGTAAATGTTTCCACTTTCTTACTTTCTTCTTACATCATGGCATCATCCTTGTACTCACTTCTTTGTTTGTTTTCTTCAATATATGCGCTTGAAGTTATCTATATCTGGTGAGCAAAATATGTTTGTTGTGAAGGGATTGCTCAACTTATCAAACTTTGGAATAAAGCTGGTGATAAAACTCATTCTCAAATCGGTCATCAATTACTTTGGGGTGATGAGATTGAATATTTCTCGATCTCAATTGATCAATCATCAAATTATGTGAACTTATCATTATCTCAACTTGAAGTACTACAACAACTTTTTTAGATCACCACATTGCAATTACCTGGGTCTGTTTACCTCTACCTTTCGGATTCTATATTGCAATGATGTCTCTTCTAAGTCTTGCTTTGATTGGTTTTTTGATCGTGCACTTTGATCAATCGTGGTCTTGCCAACATTCCATCAAGAGTATGGAAGGTTCATGCTAGAATCAAACCCAGGCAAACCTTATGGTCCATCACTAGAAGATTGTCTGAAGGTCAAATAAGGCATGTGATTCTGTGGTTCGTTCAGATAGTTGAAATGGGTATGTATAGATAGTAGAGGTGGTGATCAGAGGGTGTGGTGGGTGTATGATAGATCAGTTCAACAGTTTCTATACGTGCAATGAGGTCCTATGGACTCTGGAGCGCTCTGTGGCGCCCTGTCGCTATGCGCTCTAAGGCGCCAGGGCAACACGTAGCACTGCAAAATTTTGCTATACAGTGCGCAGGCAAAAATCACTATATTTCTTAGGGTTTGACCCTAGCTATAGCGCGGGTCATAAACCGCTATATGAAAAAGGGCCTAGCACGGGCGGGGTGCACGCTTGGCTACCGCGCCGCCCGCGCTATCTCGGGCGGAGCGCCGGTGGTGTTGGTGCCATTGTGAAAACTAGAAGTGCTTGGGGAGGGCATCATGCTTGCAAGCACCAGCTGTTTGTCTATACCTTCGCTCAATTTCTTGAGCATTTTTAGCTCAAGTATCAAATGTCCGGCCTTGTAATTGACGAGGCATTTCAAAAGTTAAAAATCAGATAACATCTCTCTATGATTGGCCCCAGGATTGAACAAGTCATGAAACATCTCAATTATTAGAATTCTGACCGCTTCACTTCCGGTGTTGGCTAGGGGTAGAAGATTCAGCAATATCTTGTCAAGCAAACAACACAAGTGATCCTGTTCCAATTGGAAGAACCCTACTGTATATGTCATGCTCTGAGGTGCTCTATGTTGCTGCACTGGGAGTTACACCAGCTGTAATGCAGGGTCCTTGAAAAATATGTTTTCCCCAGGGCTTGTTTATGTTACCAATAGAGGAGCTACAAATAACCACAAATCTTGCAGTGCACCTGATCAATACACACACACCACACTTCTCAGCAACAGCTTTGACCAGCATTGCTTACCTGGTGTTGATACCAGGTTTGGCCGGGTAGTACATACATATATCTTGGGTATTACACATCATACATACTCAGGAGTATATAATACTACTAGCCCTGGCCCAGGGTCATCTTCTGGAGCACAAGAAATTGTTCCCGCTTACCTGTACTTGAGAGAAACCCCAAACAATAGTTTGGAAAGGGTGGTATGCTATCTCAGCACTCTCTGGGGGCCAAGTGTCCAATATGATTGTGGCAACAAAGTGCTTATGTAACAAGGAGAACCCCCCAAATGATGAAGGAAATTCCTCCATACTCTCTTCAGCGCTGTTTGAACTCATTCCAGCTTCTCCACCCTATGTCAGTCAAACTGGCAACATGGATGTCCTTGCACAAGGGCAAAGAGAGGACATGAGCATGGTCTTTCTTCTTTATTTCCATTTCCTTCTCTATACAGTAATTAAGGGTACTCAAAGTAAGTATGTGGTGCCACATACTTTTCAAATTTCATTTTTGACCCAGAATATACCATAACGAGTTAAAGAAAAGGAAATATTGAATTCTATTTGGCAAATTGTGTGATTCAAAATGTTGGTTTAGGTCATTTTGCCTGTCAAAAACAAAATTTGAAAGTATGAGGTGCCACATATGTAGCCTTGCTTTGATTACCCTTATTGTATATCACTTGACCACATACATAACAGACAGTCAAACTTCAGTGAGGATTATGTTGGGGAATAAGATATAATGGCATGATATTACGTAACAACACCGAATAATGTCCATGGAATGACATCTTATTATGTCATAGCACAATAACAAATATTTAACCATGACATCATGACATATCAAAGTAATTGTCACAAGGTAAATTGCGTTGGGGCACAGGAAAATGGGAAAACCATGAGCATGCCTGATGTCAGGTTTGGCTGTGTCTTCTGAGCTGTCTTTGTTCAGTATGGCTTTGAGTCCAACACAAATTACCCATAACTACACTGGCTGAGCCTTTGGTGGGAACGCAGTGTGGCAATGTGATGTAGCTTAACACAAGCCCCTAAAACCCCACAGAGAGGTCCCCCGGAGCCTGCAGAGGGGGGGGTTGCGACTTATTGGTGATTTTTGGCTTGAGACCAAATTCACTTTGTCGGGGCTATCTCCAGTGTCCATTTTCACCCCCCCACACACAATAAACCTTCCATCATGCCTATATGAAATTTATAGAAGCATGTTTTTATGACCTTTTGCTCTCCTCAGAATTTCTATAGCTATCCTAGAAACAGTTATATCATCAGTTGAAAAAGAAATCGAAATTTGAGAGTTTGGTAACTGAGACTGCTGCAATTACAGTCACTTTACACACAAGAGTCTTCATTTCTCTCTGCTAAGCCATAGGCTCTCTGCCATCCTTGTCAGAGACAGAGAGAATCATCCGCAGTCCTCTAATTTTGGCTCAAGAACTTGTGACTCTTCACTGTCACCTCAAGCAGATATCTTCTCATCAAGGCAAGTAGAAAGTGAGGGCTATCATGTACAACATGCTTCTGCAAAGGACAGTGTGTTCAGAATTTGCGAGTTGTTGATAGGAAATGCTGCAGTGGTGATTTTGATGAAAAAACACTGAAAGTTGTGAATTTCAGATTGGTATGAAGCCAAAAAATTGTATAAGTCGTAAGTCCCTCCTGCACAAGCTCCGGGGGACACGCGCGGTTTGAGGAGGTACTTAGTTAAGTTACACTGCCAGCATTAAAGAGGTTCCCAGATGGGAATATGGGTCCTAGTGATCACATTTCCATCCTGCTACTGTTACACAGTTCCATGAATATTTCCTGAGTAGCCATTGTGATATATGTAGTCAATATTTTGAGATGTGTGTCTCAATTTGAACAAAGTTACAGCATGTATTACACATGAACTTCTTATCTAGATGAGCAGATAACTGAGCGAACCTGTATGTAGCTGATAGCTAAGGATTTACTCAGATGTTTGCACATATGTAGTGTATGCTTTATGGCTCAGATGTGCAGTGCAAGATGATTTGATGCAACATTCTTCTCTCAATGATATTCCCAGCCAAGGTCATGTTCCGACCAGGGAACCTATTTAATGCTGGCAGTGTTAGCAATGTGATATGTTCCATATCATACCAGGTTTGACAGCTTGATTCATCCTGAGACCTGGCCCTGGATATCCCACGGGTATCCAACGGATACTCTGACGGATCCAGATGTCAGATGGGTCCTTGGAGCCATCCGGGGGGGCCGATATCCGGCCGGTTTGGTAGTCAGATGAAGGGCGCAAAAAAATCAATGTTTACCGGATATCCGGTATATTTGCAGGCAAGAATTGGTGCGTGTATTGGCGTGTATTTCAAGACATTGTAAAAGAACAGAGAAAAAAAACAAGACATGAGGAAACTATTCATAATCACTTTCCTCATCACCGTCCTCAGTAAGACCAACAAGTTTTAAAGGCCCAAGCACATGGTGCCAATCTTTGACACATAAAAGAGTCTCGACATGGAGACACGAGAGGCTAGTACTCTGAGGACTCAAAATCCTTTTGGTTTTATTGAATTGTCCCTCTGATGGACAGCTAGTAGCGGGTATTGCCAAAAATGCCATCACCATGTTAGACAATCCAGGATAGATTGTAACTCGCTGTTTCCAAAAGTCTAGGACATCAGTGCCACGGGATTCAAGCTTGTCACCGAGGTATTGGGCAATTTTGTTTGCAATTGAGTGGGTCTGAGGATATCTCTAGTGCCGAATATTGGTTCTTCAAAACATTGAGAAGTTGGTGTTACCACAGTTTGTTTTTTGGTACTTTCTGGATTGGCCACAGGTTCATCAACTTTGTATTGGCTTGCCTCGTCCTCAAACATTAGCCTGATGTCGGACAGATAGAGGTCATACACAGAGAAGGTCATTGCTTGGTCCTGTTTGTGAAAAAAACAATGATCAGTAAAAAGTAACCACTGAAAAAAATAACACACTTACTTGAAAATAATGTAACTTGTGACGTGGATCAAGGATGGTGGCACATACTGGTGCCGGTTTGAGAAGGACCTTCTTGAGATAATCTGCAAATTTATTAATCATCTTTTTCAAAGCTGGGCCGATTTGATTATGATTGTATTGTTGAACAATCTGAATATACAAAAAATATTGTCAATCACTTTGAATTTTTTAGTGAGATTATGAAAAAGCAGACTTACAAATTTCAATCCTTTTAAAAATACAACATGTATTGGAACTACTTGATGCATTGTTGGAAACTTTGATTTTCAAAGTATCTCAATGGCTTTCCTAAGTGGTTCCAAAAAGTCGCACATCTGCTTGACATAATCCCACTTGAGGAATGTAAGAGCATAATTCTGGGAGTCTCAACCCTTGCAAAACTTGTCACATGAATCTCTTAGACGTAGCAGTCTTTGGAACATGTGGTAGGAAGAGTTCCACCTTGTGGCAACATCAACCACAAGCTTAGTCGCACTGTCAGAGTTTTTTGGCCAAGCTGGCCGGATGTGGTCAATAGTTGGGTCATCAATGAGGTAATCCACACAACACTGCAATAGCTACGCTCCACTCAGGTTTTTGACCTATTTTGAGAGCAGAGCGGAGTGCTGCGCTCAATCTCACTACACTCACAATTGCTCTTTTTATTTAATTTTCTTACTTTGGTGTGCGTAGTAGTTTCATCCCTACGCACATTGCCCCATTTTTGAAAAAAAGAGAAATTTGATAAAAAATTAAAAGCATAGATATATATATCTATGCACAATATAATGGAAAACAAAGAGAATAAAGTTTGACTTTGAAAACCCTACGACTAGTGACATAAAGGCATGATCATTAAAAATGATGGAAAATGAGTAAAAAAAACAAGGCCACACACCATCTATATTAACAAGGTCAATGTGTCTACTGGTTTGATTATGACATCTACACACCGGTTTATCATTTAGGTATGATGCCAAAGTTGTCCAATTTTGAGTATGACGCTGATGCTCAAGGAATACAGCGGTGAGACGAGCTAGAATTCACGTTTTTCCTAAGCTTTAATTTGTGCTTGGTAGGCTTTAACCCAGCGTTTGTTTGAGTCATCGGATAGAGTGCGAGATTCCA